TTTGAAAATATGCATAAACCAAGAAGTTTCCTGTTTTTCAAAAGGCTTGAGAAAAGAATGAAAGAGCAGTCCTCAACAAGTTCTTAGATTTTTTTTGAAAAGTGTCCCCTGCAGGCATCCGTGGAACACTTCATGGCTTTAGCAGGCAGTGATCCACTGTATCAAAATGCCTTATATTTCTAGGTTGTATATATAACAGACTCATATTTACTCATGTTTCACTTTGCTGGCCAGAGCTCATGAAACCTCTCTAGAGCAGGCTATCACCACTGGTCACATGCGGCCACAGAGAGTCCAGGAATAGAACGTGAAGAATCTTCGCCCTCCAGTTACTCGGGGTATTGGAGCTGACCAGTGTGTGCTGTGAGAATGTGACACATTACCAGGGCTTATTTCATTCACTGGCACACTTCTCGAGGCCAAGATCAGTTTCCACCTCCTCGGGAGAAGGGAGCTCTTGCCTAGAAGGAATCTGGCCAAAGGCAAATTTACCAGATTTTAAATGAACTATTTCACATATTCTCACCGAGCTCAAAGAAACCATAGGTAAAGAACTAAAGGAAACCACAAAGTAATGTCTCACCAAATACAGAATATTAATAAAGAGATAAAAATTATAAAAAGAAGCTAAAGGAGCTATTCTAAAGTTAAAAAGTATAACTGAAACGTAATATTCACTAGAGAGTTTCCACAGATGATGTGAGCAGACAGAAGAAAACCTTGGTGAACGTGAAAATAGGACCCTGGCAATTACAGTCTGAGGACCAGACATAAAAAAGACTACAGAAAAAGTAACCAGAACTATGAGGTCTGGGGACAACATGAAATGTACCAAAATATTCACAGTGGGAATTCCAAAGGAGAAGAGTGGGGGAAATAAATGGAAGATAATAATCAAAGAAATAAGGGCTGGACACCTCCCCAGTTTTGGTGAAAGACACAAATGTACACAGTCAAAAAGCTTAATAAACCCTAAGTAGGAAACGCAAAGACAGCCAGTGAAGGAAGCTTACAGCCAAACCATCAAAAGACAAATATTTTAAAAGCAGCAAGAGAGCAGTGATTCGTCATGTGCATGAGCTATCTGCTAAGATTCGTAGCCAGCTCCTCCTCAGAAAGCACTTTCGATCTAACGACACAGTTAAGGGGAAAGTGAAAGGATGGAAAAGCATATTCCCTGCAAATTTTAACCAAAAGGGAACTGGGGTGACTAAATGTGGAGGATCACCTGGATGACCTTCCTTGAAAAAAGAGCAATCTCTCCATTTTGGCTAAACCTGGCCCTATTTCTGTGCACTGGTATAAACAGAGCTGGCTAGGACATTTTCTTATCCCCTCAACTGGTTTTAAGCAATGCGGGGCCCAGCCAAGGAGCTGATGTGTAGTCTCTGAAGCAAGGTGAAAGGTCAGTGTTGCCCCACCTGTAGCTCAAAGAAGTATGTGTGAGCCAGGCCCAGAGAATCCCGATGTCTGCTAGGGCCGAGCCTCGAGATAAGAGGCTATGACTTCTCAGGGCATAAAAAATTACACAGCAGAGTTGAAGCAGTGGCCCCAAAACATTAGATACTGCCCTGAATTGTGTTATGCAGATTATTCTTTTCTGTATCTCTCTCTCTCTTTCTCTCTGCATATTGCAGACATGATTTCAGGCCTCCTACCTAGCCCAGCTCACAGCACTCACATACTTCCCACCATTCTCACAGTCACTCATCCCTGAGCCGCTCCCCTCTTCTCTGGGTTTGGCCCTTGGTCAAGGCCTTTGTTCCGGTTAACCATCATACTTGCTGGACTTAGGACCCCTTGGCTCCCCACAACTACAAATACGACTTAGTGTCTATTCTTGCCATGGGCTGCACTGGAAGAGGTAGACCGGAGTTAACTTACTAGAATCCCAGTAACTTTTCCATAGGATTACAAATGTGGATTTTTGTGGACCACAGTGAGGTCTAGAAAGGCTTTCTATAACTAAATCTTGCATCAGAAAGAAGAGATGCAAGACAAAGGAAAAAAAAAACACTATGATAGACAGAGGAGAGTATACTACAAAAAAATTACATAATTTTACAAAACTTTAGCTAGATTGACCAAGAAAAAAAAGGAACCTCAAATTACTAAAATTAGGAAGAAAAGTGGGGAAATCACTACTGACATCATGGAAATGAAAAGAATTAGAATCCTAGAGATAGTTGTAAGCCAACAAACTGCATAACCTAGGTAGATGGACAAATTTCTGGAAACACAACGAAATCTGACTTGAAGAAGAAACACAAAGTCTGAAAAGACTTACACATCATCATCGACAACAATAACAAAAACAACAATAAAAAAGCCCAGGACCAAAGAGCTTCATTGAGAAATTCTACCAAATATTTAAATAAGAACTTATACCAATTCTTCTCAAACTCAAAAAAAAGAAGAGAACCACCCACCTCCTAATCTGTTCCATTAGGCCGATATTTTCCCAACACGAAGGACACCACAAGACAATTATAGACCAATATTCTGTATAAATATAGATTTTTTAAATCCCTATGAAATACTAGCAAAGGGAATACAGTCCCATATTAAAAGGATTATGCACTATACGCAAGTGGAATTTATCCCAGGAATGCAAGGGTGGCTCCCTTATGAAAGTCGCCGCATGTATTACACCACATTCATAGAATGTAGTGGCCACTTGAATGGGCATGGTGTCTTTTTTGAGAGGTGATGAAAATATTCTGGAATTAGAGAGTGGTGATGTTCATACAACTTAGCAAATATACTAAAAATCATGCATTGTCACTTTAAAATGATTCATGAATTTTACCTAAAAACAAAACAAAACTGATTTCAGCTTCGAGGAGCCTGAGGCAGACTTGGGTCATTGTTCACTGTACAATATCTTCACTATGTCCTGGGGGCAAAGGCCCTGAAATCATTTTGATGTGTCAACAGCTAGCCATCTG